ATCTACCGGCCCCAAAAGAAGTTGGACGACATGACGCTTGCCGAATGCTTCACGGTTGCTGCTATGGGCGCACATTACGACATCGATGCCTTCCCTGATCGGATGCGCCGATTGCTCTACGCATCTGGGACCCTTCATTTCAACGAGCAGACTGCCAGACAAGACTATTTCCGCACAATGCGCCTGCTTTTATCATTGTCCTTTTACTCTTTGCTCGAGAAGCACATGAGCGCCAAGTATCTTATCGGTATGTTCAACTCGTGCACTTGATCATGTGATCGTACTAACAAACCACAGCTGCAGGACTACAGATCGCCCGTTGGAAGTATCCGGCTCTGCAAACTTCGTCTCGCTCAGCAACGGACGACCACTGGAGAAAAATATTCCGTAGCCTCGTGTTCATGGATTCATGGCTTGCCTACACCCTTGGTTATCCTACTGAGGTGACAGCCAGTGACATCCAGGTATGCCAGGGCAAGCCTACATTGATTTTCATGATACTAACATGGCCAGGTCGCCTGCATTGCCCATCGCCAAGATCAACTGTCCATCGATGAACTCATACACATGCAAACCAGCAAGATCAACCTGATAGCCGCCGAGGTTGCCAAGACACTGGCATCTCCAGAGCTAGCTACCAAGGGGAATATCACCATGCTCACAATGAAGCTGGAAAAGTGGCGTGAAGAAGTTCCGCAAACGTTACAGATCCCTACGCTTCTGTCTAGTGCCGCACAAGACATGACAGTCTTCCAAAGGCGAGCGGTCTTTATGTTGCACGTAAGGAAACCTTCCATCTTCGTGTATCATCATTGTATTGACTGATTCAGATCATGTATCTTGGTGCACTGGTCCTGCTATACCGCCAGCTACTAGTGGCTTCAGCAGAAGCCCAGCTTATCGACGGCACTCCATCTGCGTTGAACAACATCTCAGTCGAAGATGTCAAGATATACCGACAGGAATGTGCAATGGCTGCCCAGAACATTGCTCGCATGTTGAGCCTTATCTCTTTTGACGGTACGCTGACAACGCGTTGCTGGATCATGTAAGTTCATGCACAAAACCCGAATACCCCATGAACTAACGATCATAGTATCTACTGGGCATTCTCAGCTGCAATTTGCCTGCTCTTCAGCGCAACGACTAAACTCATGGACGGTCAGACTGAAGGCGTCGAAGCTGATCTCACGTACGCCAAGTCGTGCATGGACATGCTCGAGCCATGTAAACCATGCGAACCCGTTGCCGCGCGATACCTGGAGACACTCTGGCCCCTATACGACCACTTGCAAGATGTACATCGTCGGATGATCGGCAGATCAAAGAGCAGCATCTTCGCCATCCTGCAGCCTGATCCGAGTCTGCTGAGCCCACCCATACCCGTGTCAAAGCAAGAGATGGGTCCAATCTCCGAGAAGCTTACAATGCTGCTCACTGATCCTTTCGGGAGGAAGCAGGCTGCCGACGGCACCCAAAGACGCATCCTTAGTAATGATGGGTCGTACTCAGTTTTCTGGTTTAGGTGAAGAAGGCTTCGCTGATGTTGTAATCTTTCATCATCGACGAGAAGAGATTCCGGCGACATGATCTACCCAAACAAATATTAGAGTTCACCAAAGGTGCCGCTGTCGAGATCGAGTTGTAACAAGCTGCAAGAAGCCGATGAATAGCTTTGCCCGTTATCTGAAGTCCACTGGTTGCCAGGCCCGGTAGATGCAAAGTCTACATCGGTTGGAGCCGTTTGTTACAAGACGAATCTGTCATGCTACTAAATATGGCATCGTTCTCGAACGCTTGTCACTCCGGCTTGCGCTACAAGACAATTGATCGATAGCGCGACTGCACGTTTCAGTCGTTCCTGACTAGCAGCCGAATCGACGGATTACAAGCCGATGCGTCTGCACGTCCCAGGGGTCTCCTACTGTACTGGTGGATGAGCGTGGGGGAAAGAACGAAGACCGGAAAGGGGGAAGAGGCGTCGATATCAGCCGTGGTACTGGCTGGGCATCGTCATCTCAACAGCGAAACTGATAGTCTGCACCACGATAGTGTATCTCAAGCAGGAAAGTTGAGACTGCATCGTGCTGTAGCGTCGATCACGGGAGCGCCCGTCCTCCGTAGCGCAAACGCCATCGTCAGCCAATTCCCACTCTCAGCCCGTATCAGCCTGTATCTGAATCAATCATTGTAGCGTCATGAAAATTTCACCACCAATCTTCCGTTCCACGCAAACATTTCTGTCCTGTCATTGTAGCATGTTGCGATGTTGACGGGTCGGACCCTGTTCACGGCCGCGGTACCAGCAAGCGATACGCGTAATTCGGCTCCATATTTCATAAACCGAGCGATATCGCCAGCGACGCAGGGCCGAATGGTTCGCAGTGCAGGTGTAAGAACCATTCGCATAGAGATACAGGCGGTGCGTCCATGACATCTGCAAGTCGAGAGATGGCGCAGCTGAGGTGGTGATGTCGGCCGATACGCGCTTCCAATAGTGCGGCAGTTAACAATGTCGCGATATCTAGTGCCCCTCGCGAACCCTTGGGCTACTGACGATCTTTATCGAAACGTGTTTCAGCGGGGTCGTCCTTGTCAACCGACCGCTCTACCCACGACGTCGTTTTCGTTTCGATCGCGATGTTCGGGTTGATCGGCCTCTGTGCGGTCGGGTCGGTGTAGCTGCGCTTGCATCATTGAAGATCATGCTCGCAAATTGGTTTAGGGGAAAGGGAGAGAAGTACGTAGGCGCGGGTACACCTGCTGTATGAGATACAGGAGGCAGTCCGCTTCCCTCAAATTAACGAGGCCGCAAAATAAATGCTCCACCGCTTCTTCGTTGTTGATGCCGCTGAAGTGCGGAGAAAAGCAAGCTGTTGATGCGCAACAGGGGACTAACCGCCCACGCCGCGTTTTCTGCCCGAATCCGAAAGGCAGTACTTCCCGGCCGGTGGTGATGCCATCTGGCGCGAGCTAGTTGGCTACATAAAGCAGTCGTGAGATACGGGCTCTGCACAAGCGTGGGCGGATAAGGAAAGGGGGGTGCGCAATATGCAAGTCTAGATCTACAGCAGTCTCCACCCCGGCAGCGCAGCAGCGGGTGGAGCTCCTGGGCATGAGGGAGGCTCGTTCGCGTCATTTGGGGGGTGAAATAGGGAACGGCCGTCCGTTGCAGGGAATAATGATAATACCCTCGAAGCCTTCTTTCCCTGGCATCTTGCTTGCTTTGCTCTTCCCCCTCTTATTTGCTTTTTAGCCTCGTCGTGCGAAGAAGCTTGTTCGTTCTCGTCTGCCTTTCGACTCGAGATAGCCCGACTGCATACCGATGCGAAGCGAGATAGCCACGCCGACAGAGAGATACGATGGACTACAGATACGCTGTGCCGATGGAGAGCCCTTTTGTGATCCCACATGAGGATGTAGAGGCGCTGGGCGAGTCAAAGGCCTTTTGCGCGCTGAGGAGGCATCTGGCTGGTGATGCTGAGTATGTTCATGTTCCTGTTTCTCTTCCCCCGTCGCGAGCAGCTTATCGCGCTTCGTATCGCTTCTCTCCACCTCCACATGCCTATCCACCCCCAGCTCCACGGCAAACCTCAATCGCAGTATCAAGTACTAACAAGCATGCCAGCTTCTGCGCAACACACACGCAATGTTCTCCCCAGGCGAAACAAACCTACATACTCCACCGCGATATCCTCCACGCCCTCATCATGCCCGTCGTAACCCTCTTCTCCCGCGCATCAACACTAGCCTCCGCAGCACTCTGCACACAACGCGCCTCTGATCTCGAACTCGCCTTCTCTGGCGAATCCCGCAGCGCATTCATCGGCCTGCAGTGCTTCATAACCGAAGAATCAGACTGGTGCCGCACCCGGGGCTGCCCAGCATGCGTCGTAACAGCAACCCTCAGCACCGACAGCCACATCCGCTTGACCATCGCTGCGAGTTTGCTTAGCACAGCAAACATCGCGACGCCAACGCAAGAAGAACCGCCAAAGCACATCGAAGACAGAACACTCCCTCCGCTCCCTCACATCCTCCCCGCGCTCCAACACGCCGTTATAAACGACCCGTTCTGGGAGGGCTCGGAGATCTGGGGCTACATACTCTCGCGTGCGACACAACTCTCCGCTGGCATCCAGGCTCTCATCGCTGAGTGCGTGAACCTCGAGTCCCTCGTTTCGTCGCCTACGACCGAACGCCCTGGCTCGAAGCGTGGGCTCACACATCCTACGGTGCCTTTTGTGGTATCTGGACAAGCGGTTCAGGAGAAGGGCGTCAAGCTCAGAAAGAGCAAGCTGGCGAAGCGACAACTCAGGCTGCGCGATGAGGAAGTGGAGCTCATGCGCAGAGTCGCAATGCAGTGTTGGGCGAAAGCCCAGGTACCCAAGCACGTCAGGGGCGAGGTACTAGGCTTGAGCGATAGCAAGAGGACGAGAAGTTTGACCTGCCCGTAAGCAGCGGGTCTACACGGTCTATCAGCAGTGCGTCTGATGGATCGCAAAGGTGTTATATGGCGTTTTGAGGGCTCGCATATGGATGATACCACAGCATACCACTTTTCCTTGGGTTAGGCGGCATCTGATGTCGTGGGACTGGTTGGTTCCGCGGCTGGGTTGGGGGGGCATATACATGGTATGGGGGTATTTCTTTTGTTTGGCATTAGATACTACTGGGGCACAAGTGGTCCTTAGAGGTCTAATATATCTATATGTTCGCTCTAAGTAAGTGCCCGTTCATGTCCCTTCAAATGCCTCGTTCATCCTTGTGCCGACATTACCCCGCCAAAGGCTCAGCGACATCGTACAGTGGATATTGGGGGCCATATCCGCGCGTGACGGCTCGCCAATCGGCAGGTGGGTGGCGCGGTTGCTTGTAGCTGCATGCCTTCACATAGGGTGAGCATTCCCTCCCCGCTCCCCATCTTTCCCATCTTTCTCATCTTCCATTGACACAACAGATCTTCGAACTAGCCAAATCTTTCAACACAGTATCGAACCATGCCAGAACGCAGCATCGTATCGTCTGAGATCGAACGACTGGAAACAAGCGATGACATATCCGACAAGACAATTTACGAGCCACTCCCAGCGGGCGAGTTTATACGCGTGTTGAAACTGCAACCCGGCGATACCGACCACGACATCAAGTGCAGCCTCGAGATTGTCGACTTAGAACAGTCCAAGGGCTCATATGAAGCGATATCATACGTTTGGGGCGACCCCAACGACACTATCGACGTGCAATGTAATGGACAGCGGGTGCCGATTACCTTGAGCCTCGCAGATGCTCTTCGAAACTTTCGTCACACATCTGAGCCTCGGCTACTATGGGTGGACGCTTTGTGTATCAACCAGGAAGACAAGAAGGAGAAAGGACACCAAGTCAAGAGAATGGGCGAGGTGTATGCGAACGCAAAACGTACGCTTGTCTGGCTTGGTTGCGATGATCAAAATATTGCTAAAGATGCATTTGCCCTCATCCTCGAGGCGAATGCATACTTTGCGGATTCATTCTTACAAGCGAACCAAAGAACGAGCATGATGGCGCCCTTTGTGAAACCGTATCCTATTTCTATGGACCGAGAAAGATGGTTAGGGGTCGCAAGCCTCTTCAAGTTTCCTTGGTTTAGAAGAGTATGGACTGTTCAGGAATCCGCCATCGCTGAGGAATGTCACGTTTATTGGGGCTCAGCCAGCATTGATATTGCCGATGTGTTGGAAATATGTGTGTGGCTTTCGCAAAGGCAAGATTTCAAAGGGACCATCTGCAACGTCGTTAGAAATTTCAATTACCTTGGGCCGAGAAACATAGGAACTTACCTTCGCTACAAGGCACACCGGCCAAAACGATGGCAGCAATCCCGCATAGGATTGGCTTACTTGGCCACCAAATCCGAAAACAGCACGTTTATGATGGTCCTTCAGGCTTCCCGATACCTAAAAGCAAGCGATCCCAGAGACCATGTTTACGCGTTCTTGGGTTGTCCAGCCGCGATTGACAGTACAGGCCGCACGTTCGTGGAGGCAGACTATACTTCTTCGATAGACGATCTCAATCTTCGTCTCGCCTATGCGTCAATGAAGAATGCTGCAGAAGGACCTTTCTTTCTTTCGGCTGTTCGTCACAACAGTAGAGACAGACTTCTGGACGGCGTGCATCCTTCTTGGCTACCGGTATGGCATGTTGCTGGGGAATATTGCCGGGACATAGCGAACCCGACATTTTGGTTCCAAGCTGGCGGCATCAGAAAACTCTTTACAGCCACTGAGAACGGCGAAAGGCGATTGAGCATTGGTGCTTGCACCTTCGACACCGTCATCTGGAGGTCGTCTACGATACAAAAGGATCGTGCAGACCTCACTCCCACTTATGTATCAACTAGCGGACTTCATGGAGTATTCATCGACACGTTATGGGATGATGTGATGCGGAGCTCATCACAATTGGGCATCACAGTACAATATGCCGATTTTTTCCGCAGCTTAATGATAGGCTACCCAATCAACGATGGCTTCTCTTCCATTTCCGACGAAGAACAGCAACGCATGATTGATGCATACAGAAAGAGGACCAGTGTGGCGGGACGGGGTAACCAGGAGGCTGTGATGGATGTAGTAGAGAGACGAGACGCAACATGGGTCAAGGGTATCCTTTACAATATCCACAATGCAAGCATGTTTCTGACTAGGGGTGGACGTATCGGAATAGCTCCACTGGGTCACTTGGTCGAAGTCGGCGATGTTTGCTGCATCGTCTTCGGGGCAACTGTGCCTTTTCTCCTCACGCCAGTAAGAGAAGGCCGGCACAAGCTTATAAGCGAATGCTACATCAACGGTGTGATGAATGGCGAGATCATGCAACAGTTCGCCGGAAGCGACGACCTCAGCGAGCATTGTATCGTCCTTGAATAGGCCTCGCGACGTGTTCCTGCAACAAGGCTGATCGGTGGGTGGCACACTGAGTTGGTTGGATGCTATTGGGAGACCTCATGTTACTCGGCGTGTTATTGATTATCGTAAGAGTCCTGATAAGCTGATGATATATGGATTATCGCCCTCACACACTCTCATTCAACCACTTATAGACCACTCTCGCGTCCTTCCCTTTATACCTGTCATCCTTCATTGCCTCACCAAAAGCCTCCAACGTAGGTTTATCGAGTATAGTCCGCGCCCCAACCATCTCCGCAAGCTGACTCCCCATGCCCAACACCTTTGCGCAAAGCTCGATCCGAAACCCGCCTTCGTAACCCCGTGAACTCGGTACATTGGCTTGTATACCCGGTACCGGATTGCTCTTACTCGTGACCCAACACTGACCCCCGGAGACATTGATTACATCTGTAAGCAATGCAACGTCCAACCCCATCTTCGAGCCGATGTTCAGGGCTTCAGACGCCGCGAGCGATGTAATGGCACTGAGGTAGTTGTTGATGACCTTGAACGCTGTACCTGCGCCGATGTCGCCGCAGAGAAATATCGCATCTGGCTTGCCCATGTGGCTCAGATAGCCCTTCACAGTAGGGAAGATGTCTTTGTTGTTCGCGCCTGCCATGAACGCCAGCGTACCATCCTGCGCACCCATGGGTCCACCCGACACCGGTGCATCGACAAATGTGAGCATTTTGCTTGCGCTGGAGTTCTCCACTGCGTTCGCTACCTCCAATATCGTAGCTGTTTCGATGGTTCCGCATTCCATGATCAGCTTTTCCTCTCCACCTTCTGGTAGTTTCTCCGCACCGGCCAGGACTCCTGTTTCTTTATCAAGATACACCTTCTTTACGGCATTCGAATCTGGGAGCATTGTTATGACGGTGTCGGCTCTTTGAACAGCATCATATGCGTTCTTTACTACTTCCACGGGACCCTGACCTGAAGCGTCTGATTGGAACTTCTCGAGCGCGGAGGTGGATACGTCGCAGATTAGGAGGGTATGGGAAGAGTCGAGGCCTTTGCGAAGATTCGAGGCCATGGGATAGCCCATTACGCCGAGGCCTGCGGTCCATCAGTATGATGATCGCAGAAGTATATCTAGGTAGGAAGGAACGCACCGATGAAGGCGACGGTCTTGCTCGGTAAAGACATGTTGTGTGAAGTTATCTGCTTCCGGTGCGTTGATTTAAATTGTTGATCAGTCCCTTCGGAACGTAAGAGTTAATTTCGCAAGCGTGTTCCCAGATCTGAGTATCTTGGTGTCAATGTGAGTAGTGTACTGAGTAGCGCGATGTTTACCGGGGTCCTTCAGAATTGCAGTCGCGATGGACTCACCACCGTCTTTCCCCGCACACCACTTTCCAACCTGACCACTTATTCCCAAACAGCATCTTCCTGATCAAAGTTCGCCTCGTACCAAGCCGCGTCGTGCTTCCCCAAGCCTAGCCCCGCATCTCACCCCCGCATTGGGGAACACATGGCTTCTCCACCTCCGCAACGTTCGCAGATCGGCAATCCGGCTAATACTCTACACCCTGCCACCGACGTCGACATGCAGCCTTTCTGTGTCACTCACACTTCAGGCGTCCTGCGTATCGAAGCGAGTGATGGAGGATTTATGGAAGTTGGAGAAGCAGCCAGGCCTGGACGAGGGACACGAGTAATGGGCGCAGGAAGGCGCATAGCGTACATACACACCGGATATACGCCCTGCTATTGAAGATGCATAACAGACGAGACTGCTTGAAACTTGGGTTCGTAAAGCTCTCGGGAAGCACTCCGCTACTATTTTCCTTCGCTTTCTGACATCCTTCGGCAATGGCAACGCCAGACCTTCAACGCTCGGTAACCGACGAGAAACACGAACAAGTGCAGCGCGAATACCTCGCGCAAGATGAAAACCCAGAGATCATCGCAAACAAGAAGAAAGAAGATGCGCTGCGACGAAAGCTGGATTGCTTCGTTGCGCCAGTCATGATGATGCTGATGCTCATTAGCTATCTGGATCGCGGCAACATTGGGTTTGCTGCGACGCAGGGTATGACGACGGATATTGGACTGAAGGGGAGCGAGCTGAATGTACGTTAGGATCGCGATCTCGAATGTTGGACAATGTAAGGCTAATCAAAGTGTAGACTGCTGTATCGGTGTTTTACATTTTCTACATCCTTGCCGAAGTATGTGCTATCATCAGCTACAATTCGCATATCTGACGGTAAACAGTTTCCGACTTCGCTACTTGTCAAACGTCTCCAGTTCAACCGAGTGATTCCAACAATCACTTTCTGCTGGGGCATCACATGTCTTTGTACGGGCTTTGTGCAAAACTTCGCTGGCCTGGTTACCACGCGCATCTTCCTTGGCTTCTTTGAAGGGTGTCTCTTCCCGGCGATGACACTGTTCTTATGCAACTGGTATACTAGAGAAGAGCTGGGTATCCGCATAGCGTATCTTTTCATTGCGTCGGCATTGTCGGGAGCCTTTGGTGGCCTCATCGCATTCGGCATTCTGTATATGAACGGAGTTGCTGGGTGGTCGGGGTGGAGATGGTGAGTTTCAGCTTTCGCAACTTTAGTGAGCTTTGGACTAATGCATAATATAGGCTATACGTGATCGAAGGTATCATTACCATTATATGGGCAGCCTGCTGCATCTTCCTCGTCCCCAAGTCCTTCGAAACAGCCTACTTCCTCAATGATGATGAGAAGGCTCTCATGCGCCAGCGCGCACATCGGACACAGGCCTACTCCGACTCCGAGGGCTCTGGGCATTATGGGAAAGCTGATATCAAAGAAGCAGCGAAGGACATCAGGAGCTGGGTGCATGGCGTTATTCAAATCGCCGTTGTGACGATCCTGTATGGGTTTGGCACATTCCTGCCTATCATTATTAGGAACGGGTTCAACTTCTCTACCAAACAGGTAATCTTTAGCCAACCAAAGCTTTAAATACATTGCTGACACGAAAAGGCGCAATACCTCGTTATTCCCGTCAACGTCTGGGGCGCCATCGTCTACGCAATCGGCGCATACCTGTCTGACCGGTATCAAACACGTTTCCTGCCTCTGATACTGATGGCGCCCGTAGGCATCGCAGGCTATGCCATCCTCCTCTCCCCAGTGAGCCCATACGTCCAATACTTCGCCACCTACCTTGTCGCAACGGCCTGTTTCCTCTGCACCGGCGGCAACATAACCTGGTTATCTGCGAATTGTGCACCTGATGGCAAACGCGCCGCTTCTTTGGGCATTCTGCTCACACTCACCAATATTGGCGGTGTTGTGTCAGGCCAGATTTATCAAAGCAATGCAGCGCCGAAGTATACCTTAGGCCATGCGTGGAGTCTGGGCTGTTTAGCCTTTGCGTGGTGCGGATGGTGGGTTGTTAGGGCGATTTATAGAAGAAGGGAGAAGAGGAAGGATATCAAGCTCGCTCAAGGGTATACTTTGCCTGCTGGGAAGCAGTATACGGACCGCGAACCGGACTTTAGGTATCAGATATAGCTGTGCAATCGCCTTAGGGACTTCAAGAACTTGAGGACGTCATGTGAATTGAGTCCAGCCTGGAGGATGTCGCGTGACTTTCAAGTTTCTTGTGTCAAATTATAGAGCAGCGTGATGTGCTTCAAGATTTCTACAAGCCATATGAGCAATGTTACAGGGTAGCGAGTCCTACTTCATGCTCTTCACGGACAGTATATACACTACCCACAAGCCTTAAAGTACACCAGGCTCCTACACGACATTACTCTTCGACCACTCTCATGACCCCCAGGCAGATACCAACAGTCCCACTTCCTACGGCTTCAGAAAAGACATGTTCTTGATCTGCTCAGTGACATCCTCCAAGCCTTCCATCTTATCCTGTATCAGCTCAATAGCCTTCTGCGGATCCATCCAGCCAGCGAACTTCTCAGGCATCTGCACCTGCATATTGCGTACATCCACCAGGAGAGCTTTCACTAATGGTTGATTAAACAGCTCTTCCGAGAGATAACTCGGTACTGTCTCGTCGATGGAGAGATTACTAAAGCCCGAGAAATTGCCCTTTGAGAATTGGTCTTGCGCGTGCTCATTCTGAAGGTCTTTCGCCACAACCTTCTCTTTCTTCTCCTTGTAGATGATGAACTGCATAGCCCAAGCAGATCCATGTTTCTGGTACTCTTCCACTGGCATCTGCCGGGCTACGCTCCAAAAGTCGTCCGTGGCGTATTCCTGCGGTGGAACGCACGCTTCGAGGGCTTTGACCGCCGCACCCATCCTGCCCCTAGCCTGCTTGCCCCAATGCACCAGATCATACTGGCTTGTGCGCCAAAGTCGAGCGATCCAGTAATCGCGCTTCTCCTTCCCGTCGTACTCGATATGCATCGCCGTTTCCAGCCATGCGCCGACGAACTGTTCGAGGAATACAATGAGTTTCTCTGCGAGAAACTTGCGCGCATTAGGCGTGTTGAGGACGATATGGGCTAGGAGGACGTTGAATCGGACTTCCTTGTGCCAACTTGAGAACGACTGGGTCTGGCTGATCTGCCAATGCCATGTTGCCATGCAGACTTTGATGTCTTGGTCGTTCTTTCGCGCGAGGAAGTTGGCGGCGGCGAAGTCGTTGTAGTTGGCAAACACGAAGTCGAGCTGCAGATTCGGAGGAATGGTAGGGACGATGAGGCTGTCTGGGTTCTCGTAGATGTCGCGGAGGGTGGGGAGGCGGCCTGAGGGGAACACGCGGCTGGGGATTTTGAGCTTGGATAGCTTGTGTTTGAGGAGGTGACCGGCTTTGTTGTGGAGGTCGAGGAGTTGTTGGTTGGTAAGCACCATCTTGAGGATGGGAGGGTGAGGAAAGATAGGTGTGTGGATTGTGACACGCAGAGTTGGTAAGGTCGATAGAAGTTGGTTTTATGGTACAAAATCGAGGTGAAGGTGAGCCGCTCGCGCGACAAGAAAAACATTGATGACGCCATGTTCTTGATCGAAAGTAAAGGT